AAAGAAATGAGATTATCGCACGGTTTATGGAATAAAATTTCATTCCAAATTATTAATTTATACTGAAATAAGGATCAGTTACGTTATATTATGGCAAATGAAGGAATCAACAGACCTGTTCATGAGCCGTTAACTGAAAAGTCCACGTTCTGAAGCACAAACACCTCAGACTTGGATCAACGCCGTTCGATTGCAAAATCACAGCGATTGTGTACAGGAACGAATGCATGTGCTGAACCATCTTAGCTGCGATTGGACCAGCCAAGAAGCACACAAGCCAAGGATGAGGCAACAAATGTAGATTTGTCGCCGATCGCAAATCGTCGGAACGCCGTTTGCACAGAGGAGCATATGAACATAGCGTGGTCAGGTACTGCCATAAAATATCTGCGACACTAAAAAAAGAATAAGAGCAATATAACTGAAGCAATTTTCAGTGATACATCTGAAAGAATTATCCTGAACTCTGTGAAAAAAAATGATAACAATGTTGATAACCTAGCTAAATCAGTAGCAAAAAACAATATGATTTACTCCTGATTTGTTTACTTATTTCCACAAATTGGTTTAAACAATTACCTTGCGATTAACAGATAAGTTCATGAAATATCTGATGAAAATAGGTAAAGACGTTGGAGACTCACCTCGACTCAGCGGATACCAATTTCAAAAGCCAATTCCAGACACGGAAAGAATGCGAGAAGAATGTGGCTCGAGCAACGGCCGTTGCCATTGCCTCACGAATACTCGCGAGATCATGACGCTCCGTAACAAACGCCAATACCGGACGACGACGCGAGGTGCTCAGTGTGGCTGTAAGTTCAGCATCGTTCAATTCTTTATTAGTTTTTTGAATTCTTTATCCTCAGCTCGTTCGAGATTTGATTAAGTACCATGGGTTTATTCAGTGTTACTATCAAGGAAGAGTACTCACCTGCGGAATGATGACTGCCATTCGCACTCAAATTATGACTGTTATGAAGTAATGATCTGAGAGCCACTGAAGGACTGTGCACTATCTGAAAATGAAACAAATATGCGGAATAGGATGAACTCGAAAAACCTCAAAAACTGAACGAAAATCATAATTGGACTCGAAGCACGGAGATTTTGTTTATAATTGTTTCTGGCATACTCATTCGATAAATCTATTTTCTAAATGCGATCAAGGAAGGAACATTCTGTGGCCAAGTTAAATGTGATCACCTCAACGCCATGTCCTAGCCGATCGTAATCTTCGGTCATTCGACGTCGTAGCGCAGTCGCAAAATCGCCCGAATTGGGTGGATGCGTTCCATACGTGAGCGGTGAAGAGCCAACCTAAACAACACAATCAATCTGCTTGTTGACTAAAACCGTTGTCTGACAATGCACCGAAATCGTTCAGATCGGTCAGTCGATCATCTAATTTCAACGTGCACCTATCACAGTGTAATAATCTCGATTACATAAAGACGTTTCGATGAATACCCTTACCTTTGTATTCGATGCAAGCGCATTGCCTGTTGAAACAGCTAAATGCACATTCGATTGCTTCGGTCCAGGATCACTAGCGTGCGAAAGTGTTCGCATAAACGA